CTTCCATATTGCACATGATAAGATGTTTACACCTTCTAATCTTACGGCCATGATAAGCACAGAGTAGAGCAACTACCACAGAAGTAGTCGCTCACATTCTAAACAATATCTTCAGACCTGATAACACAGGCACAGATAATCCCGCGCAAAGAAATATTAGAGCCAGTGTTGAGCTATATTACAAACCAAGAAAACAGATACAGAACTGCTGCCAGCGGCCAAAGAAATCGGCGACATTGTTAAAGCATTAAACATTAGTAAAGCCCCAGGTCCTGATAGGGTAGATAATAGCATTCTGCAAGCCATTAACAGCACGCAGCCGGTGTTACTCTACGCCTATATAACTGCGTGTTGGCTGAATAGACATTTCCCAGCCGGCACTAAACTTAGTGAGGTGGTGCTGTTCCTTAAAGCGAACAATGTACCAACGTCTTATTGGCCGATTTGTCTCCTGCATGCCTTGAGTAAAGTACTAGACAGAGTCGTCCTTCAAAGACTTAAAACACTATATCCTGTCGGGGACAAAGTATAAGGCAAAAGCAATATGGTTTCATCCGTGGCAGATCGGAGGATCACGCGCTGCAACATTTACGAAAAATTATAGCAAATACAAAAAAGAACTAACCAGCTCTGTGGACATTAAATAAATGGATATCTCGATAATTTGTATTGAAATTGAATAAATGTAATTAACTACTGTGTTAGCTGTAACCGTAATTCCATCCTCTTGTTCGTTTCCAGAAATCTCCAGAAGCAGAAATTGCTAGAAATATCTCGCGCGGCCGGTTGAAAACTATTTAAAGCCGGCGAGAGTCATATAAGTTGCTTAAAAATTTCTGAACAGTATGGTTGAGCACGTTGAGAAGATCCGCGCCGCAGAAACCACGGCTGAGAAGTTTACTGCCGGGTTCAAAGCAGCCACGACACTGATGAGATTTGCTGAAAGTGAAGAGTAATCACCAGCTTAGAAAGCAAATTTGAGGGAATTTTTCTACTTTTTACGATTTCTTTACACTTTCTCAACACACAGGTTACCCTGTTTCCAGCAGCAGAGCTCGGAGTCAGTACTTGGGTGGGTGACTGGCCTCGACGTATCATCTCTCTTCAACTAGTCAAGATACATCACAGCTTGTACGGCGGCCAGATGCTTGAACCCATGGAGGTAGGAAAGGGAGGAGGGGCTATTCCGCGCTAGAAGTGAAGCACTGCTTTGAAGCTTGGGTCACCAGACGGGGTGTTCTTTGTTTACATTCAGAAGCTCGCTTGACAAGATTCTGATAGTATTTCGACACACGACAGTTCCATAGAAATCGAAAAAGGGACACACTCGCATGAAAGAAACATTCATAGTGTGATGGATAATAGCAATTTGTATAGTTTGCTGACATTTACGCAAAAATCACATCTTGGTTATTTTTCGATAACTAACAACAGCGATTTTGATTATGAATTTGTTTTATAAAATTCTAAGCTGTTGCACTACAAAAATATAGATTTTAAGAAAATTGCTAAAAGAGATCTGCCAAAATTTATTTTCTAGAAGATTTGAAAAGTTTGAAACTTGATGGCTAAATGTAAATATAAAATTATGTATGTTAAAATATTTGTAATTAGGCACATAGGTCAGATTAAGTTTTTATTAAATAGAGTAACGCATGCAAGGGCTATCTGCCTAAAGAGAGAGATGCCATCGTGGAGGAATTTTGAAGAAAAACTGACCTTTGAGTGGGTATTAAAAATAATACTTATAATTTTCATTCAAATTATATTCATATATATTTTTTTATGTAAAACTTTCGGGTGTATGCTAAATTAGTGTAAATTACTTTACACGAAAAATATAGTGAATGCACAGAAATTAAAGATTTGCACATGCCGGAAATGAAAAATAGGAAATATGTATGGGTATTTATGCATGTGCTTGCAAAAAGCATGTATCTGCCTTTGACAAAATACTTAAATATTCATTAAATTATTTATAAATGTATTTGAAATGAAGAATTTATTCACTTATAAACAACTGTGAAAGTACTGTGAAGAAATCTAATGATTAAATGTATCTAATTTATAATGATTATAAATGTTATCTAAATATATAATAACCTTAATATTGAATTGTAAACATAAATTGAAATCCTGTTGACAAATACGTTATAAAACTATTTAAGCAAGAATTGTTCGTATTGGAAAGCAATCTGTTAAAAGGTATTGTAAAGCAAATGCTATGAGATGCGCACTTAAGAACGTAATAAAGAGTTTTGGAATATGTATTGTTGAAATGAAGGGTAAAAAAAAAAAAATCTGATAAGTATAATTAAAAGAATTATTCCCTTTACATTTTATAATAACTCAGTTACAAGTTTTAAATAATACTTAAAAAAAAAAAAAAAACTTATTTTATTCCCTTTCAGAAATGTTCAGAGAAAGTCAAATACTATTTAATACCTATTTAATTATTAGGAATTAGCGAAATACTTATTTAAAGTATTTCGCTAATTCCTAATAATTCTCTAATTTAAAATGAACCGAATAGAGCATTAATTATAAATTGACTTACATTTTTCGATTTAAAAGAAGCCAAAAAATCATGTCATATTTAAGAAAGTATTTTAGGAAGAAGCTCTATAAATAGAAAAGAAATAATGCATAATTTTAATATTAATAATACAATAAACTTTGATCTTAATTTTTGTACCTTAACCGAATAAAATCGAATTACCTTAATTTTTTTTTTCTAATGTAATTAACGAAAACTTGTGAAAATATTTCATTCAAATTAAACCATTCTGAGAAAACTGTCCTGTGAAAAGTATAGCATTTAATTCCGTTCAGAATGAAATGTTGTTTAAAAATATGTTGTTTTCACATACTTAGGACTCTGAAGTGTTGTAGAAAAAGAAAATATATACATTTATATGTATATTTGCGACGTAATTACAAAATATTTACACCCGAACGCGTCAAATCCCATAGAACTCAATGGTAAATGACCCAATGTTTTGGTCACCACGTAGGGATCGCCGGTGCTTCAGAGCAGGGTACGGAGAAACTTGTTTAGGGCGACTCCATCTTACTTCCTACCTCCATGCTTGAACCCTCCTCCAAAGTCTACTTGACCAACTCACGGCATTAGCACATGTTCCTGCTTCCCCTTTGTCGATGCGGTGTAAATCGCCTTAATTTTTAATTCTTCCCAACGCCTTAGGGCATATCTACAACAGAGACGGTTAAAGTAGCAGAGGCTACTATATGCCGCCTAACCATTCACTCGATTTCGATCTAAGTTGCTTAGTTATTGTTTTTGCGATTTGTTTAGTTCCGCTTGAACTGAGATATCTGAATTAGCTTTCTCATAGAGCTGTGTTGTATTTTAACGTTTTTTATAGTTCGAAGTATAACTACTGATAATATTGCGTGATGTTGTGGACACTTGCACGAATACCTCTGAGGAAAATTCAAGCGTTCTGTTAGATAACAATAAATTTTATTAATCTTTTATTGGACTTGAGCACTCAATCTATTACGAACTCGTACGCACGCGACAATATTAACAAATTAATTCAGTGCAGCATTTTTCTCACGAACGCAAAAGCTGAAGTGAACTGAAACAGAGAGAATATTCTGGTTAGGGCTCTGTTATATCTAAATATTATTTATGTTTGGTGTTTTAACACCTTATTCCATTATAACTTTAACTTAACTGATAACTTTGCTGACTGTGGTGCCGGATAAATTAAAAAAAAAAAAAAAAAAAATCAAATAATTCAAAACATTCAAAATCTAATTCATAATATTCATATATCATTTCGACATTCTTATAATATGCCTCCATTGTTGGAAAAGGCCATAAACCAGATGTGTGTCCTCGCAACCGTCTCTCGCCTTTGTTACAATTCCAATTCAAGAATAATGAGTTAAATAAAACCTTAAGAAGCGTTGAAAAAAGAAAAGAGCGTTGAAGTTTCGTATCAAGGAACATGAATCTTATGTCAAAAAAGGGGAAATTACAAGTCTTCAATAGCGTATCATAGCTGGACTTTTAACCATAATTTTGATTTTGGGTCTGCAAAAATCATCCAAAAGGCTTCTTCCATAGGCGAATTGGATTTTCTTGAGGCTTTTCACATTCACAAAGATTTAGAAAGTTTAGTTAATAATTTGAAGTCCAATCCAGTCCTTCCTAATGCCTTTAAAATTCTACTGTCTTAATTCAATTATTTTTGCCGATAGATGGCGTTACACCTCCTCGCACTTGGTACTACCAGAGGGTATAAAAATCCGTTCAGTGGTTGCTTTCCATTATTTGAAGTTCAGATTTTGAGCGTAATGTGCATTTGCCCCTCGCTCCCTATTTTAACTTCGCTAATATTTCTTTATGCTTGATCAGACAGCCTGGCTCAGTAAAAGTAGGCGGCCATGCAACTCTGATTAAAAATCTAGTTATAACCACGTGCAGTGCTGATAAGCACCACGTGTTTTTTCTGTGATTCCTTGTTTTTCTTCTTTCTATGTATTTCTTTCTCCTGATGAGAGGGACCTTTAGCTGCCCTCGAAATCGATTGAGTGTTTCATTATACCTACGCTAAATATAAGGTTGTTTTTTACGATTTTGATTGTCACATTAGCGTGTTTCTCTTCTAGTTCTAGTCTAAAACCTTAAGAGCTTAAGAATATTTTTTTCCAGATTAAAATACACATGAATACAAATAAAAATATTAGAATAATAATAACTTAAAACACATATTAAAAATTGAAATTCGCGACATAACAGCTCGCATGCCATTGTTTGCATGCGTGATTTAAGGTCTCAATGCATTAGAAGGGAAAAGCCATCCCTACAAAGTGATTTGCTGCGAAATTCATTCTCCCATACCTTTATCGCCGGTACTATTTACTGATAACAAACGGAATCACTTTTTCATATCGTCATGGTGACGTGTGCTTTTAATTTTTATCTTTATTTTTATCGCTTTACTTTCGGTCTTCGCACAGTAATGTCCACTACACATAGCAAATTAAACTTCTCCTCACGAAATAATTTTTTACGTTAGATGTTTTTTTCTGAGAAAAAATCTTTAGCACGGGAATATCTAACGTATGTTAGGTCGTATAAATGGGAAAAAAAAAAAACTAAACAACTTTCTTCCAGGAGTACACGGGAAGTGCAGGTACGTCAACAAATTTACCTTGAGCAAAATATTGGAAAGCATTTTGTTACTCATTTTCTTTCTGTACAGTTTTCACCATGAATTTGAAAAAAAATTTAATGTAACATTTAGAATACGAGCATATTACTATGTAAAAATACTTGGCGCTTACTTGTAAGATTCAAAAACTCATAAAATGTTCGATATTATTTTTATCCTTAAACCATTTTAATATACCTGTTTAATGCTTTTTAAAAAATATTTTAGTTTATAAATGCTATTTATTATGTGGTAGTTAATGTATGCTTAAGGGGACTCATACACCTTAAACCCCTCACGATATTCGAATATGTGACTGTTGCAAGAATTGGGATATTTTATTTATTTTAAAAGCAATTACTTCCAACTCTTTACAGCTGACTACATAATATAGCTGCTTTGGAAACTAGTAACCAGAAAGTTTGTGTTGCCACAAATATTTTTGTAATTTAATCCTCTTTGTGACAAAATATTTCGCCATGTTTCCACCTTGCGCGCATGATATTTTAAAAATGGCTAATGGTACATCCTTGAAATTGGATGGAATTCTTTATATGGGCACTTTTTCCTAACTGAACCAACAATCTGATGAATATTTTAATATTGAAAAATTTTATGGACGAAAACATAACAAATTTTGTTAATAAAATACATTTTACTCAACTCAAAATAAAATAAAAGTTTAATATGAAATTTTTAGAATTTTAGGTTCACAGTAGTTTACAAATGTTATAAAAGCTATATATTAAATATGGAATTAAATTATGAACAATGTTTTAAACTCTGCGCGCAAGTTGGAAACATGAGGGAAAATGTTGTCACAAATCGGATTAAATTATAAAAATATTTGTGGCAACACAAATTTTCTGATCACTATTTCAGAAAGTAGCTATATTATGTAGTCAGTTGTAAAAAGTTGGTAGTAATTGCTTTTAAAATAAATACGTTATCCCAATTCTTGCAACAGTCACCTATTCGAACATCTTATGGGTTTTAAGGTGTCTGAGTCCCCTTAAGATTTTAGTTCCTTAATAAGCTGAAATTTCTCACCGCCTTTTTTTTAAAAAAAAATTCTGATAATTTATTTAGATTTATTCTCTGAAGTTTGTGATGTAAAAATTCAATAATATTTAAAAATGAATAAATTTTCCAGATGGTTTCTTATCATTTAAGTTAAATATGTTGCTGTTATTGTAGTGGCTTATCTCACTTGTCTGACAGTAACAGAACAAGCCCATGAAACTCTTCGTGGCAAGAAGTATAAGACTGCCTCTGTCGTTTGCAAGAGCCTTGAGTACCATATAGGTGACATTACGACTTTGCTCAGTCCCCCCAAATTTGGTGGAGAGCACCCCGGGGGTCATGTGTCCTAGGATCTTCCATTCCTCTTCACCTACCAAAAACCTCTCGAGAGAACTTTCGGATCGCCGTATATCCAACATTCTATAACAACACGCCGTATAACAACATATCCAACAATATAAACCTGCATTCCTTCTCCGGGATTCGAACCGGGGCCCTTCGGTACTTTAGTCAGCATGGCTAACAACTATCCTGGTTGGGTGGCACGAAACAGAATTTATAGGAAAAAAGGCCTTCGGTTGTGGCCGAGTGCTTAAGACCGAAGAATACTGGTAGTTCAACCCGGATTCGAACTGGCTGGCTGCATGGTTGGTTTCCGTGGTTTTTCCTCATGCGTAACGTAAGAACGAGCCAGTTTCCCTTAACCAGGACGGTTATTCTACGCTACGAGAGTCGACAGCAAGTTGTGGGCCGCCAGATGTCGCTGCTAGTAAAAAACAGGTCTGCCCGACATCCTATATTCTCTGAGTACCGGAAGTTGTCGAAAGGCGCGTGAAAAGTGTTGCCGCGTCGTCAATCAGGGTTGTGCAGTTGACGTACCAAGTAGACATTGGCTTTGTATGTGTTTTTGCGCCGCTGATTTTTTTCATATTTAAACGAAGAATACGGTCGTAGATCTCTGAATCGGTGGCGAATTTATAGAAAATATGTTGATTCTTCTGCTTTTGCTCTGCCAAAAGATGTTTTTATTGCGTATTTCAGATTGCCAAAATTTATAGTTATTTTAATTTGCAATGAACTGAGAGAGTATTTGGAGCCAGATTCAGGAAACATAGAACATAATTTCTACTGAAAGAAAGGTTATTTATACTATTCCTGAAATTATAGATATAAATTGTAATTGTATGCTTTAAAAATGTAGAAGCTAATAAGTTTATCAGGCACATAAACCTTCTTCATTTAATACAAATATAGACATCCGATAAGCTTCTACTCGATTTATGTGCAGCAAGAATTACGTTTACTTTAAAATCTAACAGTTGAATACCTTACGAATAATACTGTGAACACAAAAAGGAATGTCGTTCATTATTACGCGAAATTCACACTACTGTAAAATAAAAATAAAACTATAAAATAGCTGTATAATATTTTTGTCAGTAGCTGTACTACTACTAGTGTGATACATTTAAAAATAAGTTTTAGCACAGAGGGCCTATTAATTTCGTTTTGCCATTTTGTGACGTCATTCACGATAAAATGGCGTTTCACTTTTCAAATCGTTGCCACCAAAGTATTATCGCAGCTCTGATTATATTTAAACAAATTAAATAATGAGGAATCTGCATGAATGTATGTTAGAGCCCTGTATTATTTCACTCGCACTGTGATAAAAGTAACGGTACCTAGAGCCATGAAATTCTGAATAACGTAATCCTCCATCCTAATATAGGCATCTGGAAGCCCAAATTTGGAACTGGGAATTTGTTTTATTATCTATTTCATATTTTGTATAAAGCATTTAATGAATTTTTTGATTAAGAAACCCAACGATTTCAAAGCGAGCAATGACAACATTGTACGGGAAAAAAAAAGAGGAAAAAAAACATTTTCATCTCTAGCGCGCGAGACTATGCATCGGAAATTCTAAAGCTATGCTTTTTTAAATTATATGATATTGCTGTTGAATTGAATTTTATGGTTTAAGTGCGAAAAACATGACATTTAATAAATAAAGGTAACACGCAAAACGTTAAAAAAATGGCCCTTTGGGAGTAATAAAAAATCTGAAGGCTTTCAGATATTTTTTTTCTTGTGTGTGTGTATGTATGTAATTTTATTACATTTTAAAACTGGTTTCTAAGTGAGAACTGCCCATCAGCGGCCGAGTGCTGAACACTGGTAGTTCGGTCCGAGGTTCGAATCCCGCGAACGGGCTGGCTGCTTGGGCTTTTCGTGGTTTTCCCCCATGTGTAACGTGTATACAATCCAGTTTCCCTTAGAAAGTTCTCCACGAAGTCATCCCTCCCCTTAGACAGATAGCCCTCGTGTGCTTTGCCATAATTAAATACACACACACACACATTAAGTGAGGACTTTCTAAAGGAAACTGGCTCGTATACACGTTACACATGGGGAAAGCCTCGAAAACGCCGGCCAGCTCGTTCGCGGGATTCGAACCTCGGACCAAACTACCTGCGTTCAGCGACTCTACCGCTCAGCGGCTGGTGGACTTGTTAGCAGAATTATACTGCATTATTATTGTATTATGCTATAAAGTAACAATGCTATAAGACTGAGGGTTTGTTCATGGAATAGTACTTTTGTAACCTACTACAGTATTAAAAAAATCATAGTTTCTTTGCAAACTTAAATTTAAAAACATTACTGTTCACAGCATTCTCATTTTTATATTGTAAAAGAGATATTGATTATTATTAGTTTTCTATTTAAAATGTGTCGAAACGCTGGTTTGACAAGGACTTCAACTGCAGGAGACCTACACTGATTATTTTTATTTTAGTACTTGCATTGTGAAAATATCTTTTAATTATTTTCACAGAATAAAATCTTTTGAGAAGGAAGAATATTTAAACTGAGCCGTTCTTATATATATATAAAATTAAAATAACAGCAATGTAATATTAAAAAAAGGTATTAGTAATTGTGTGACAAAAATTGCAAAACGAATTAATCACACATACAGGATAGATTAGTTTAATTTTGGTTAAATATTTTATATTAAAAAAATATTTTCTATCATGTTAATTATAGAATAAATTATTTAAAATATAGCATTTTGATGCGTGTGTGATAGTTGAATGCAGCAGCAATCGGCCATAGCGAATGAATTTTTGAAAGAAATAATTTTCATAGAAAAAGAAAATAAAAAAAGGGAAGAAATATTAAGAAAGAAATAGTTTCTTTCTAATTTCTTATTTAAAGAAATATTTTTCCAATAGTAACTGTAAATTGCGGGGAAACAGTTTTAATGTAAGCATGGAATTAAAAAAAAAAAAAAAAAAAAAAAAAAAAAAAAAAAAAAAAAAAAAAAAAAAAAAAAACTTACTTTGTTATTAGATTGTAATGCAAATTAATCATATTATAAATTTAAATGATTAAAATTGTTTATTTCTAAAAGGATTTGAAGTAAGCTTAATTCATCTACTCTTATCTATTTACCATTGCTTTCGTGGTATCCCATATCACTCTTTATTTCTTAGCTCTAAATTCCTGCGTTAACTTTCACCTTATAAAACGGGATTTTCCTTCACATAACACAGCAGCATGTTCTGCTGCGTGTTGGTCATAATACTGTTTTGTGCAATTTTTTTCGAATTACAAATGCAGCGTGTGAGTTAGTGAAATAATGGGAGAATATTAATAGAACTTCAGTCAGCGCGCGCTATAAATTTCGTCACTCGTCTGTACTGCGATTGGTCTAAAGCTCCTTGAAGCCTTGTCCCCTTTCAGTAAAGTCAAATGGACCCACCCGCCCACCAACTGAGGACCACAGAATGGCTTTCTCCGATAAGTTGTGATGGCTGTCCATACCGGTTTTTTTGAGTCAATATTGTTCGCTCAAGTTGTAGACAGATCCAGTGATCATAGAATAGGCGTCCAGGTAACTGTGATTGACGAGTATACTCGTGACAGTGGACAAATTTAAGGCAGTGTGCAATGCCTAGTTTGTGCAATTCTGGGATTTTTTTTTAAGTGTAAACAGATTGATGTGAGTGAGTGAGCGCCAGTGTACATGGACACAGAATTTGTGCAATTTTTTGGCTCCTTATTTTGGTTTTGTGTGGCGGCCATTTTGAAAGTGTGCCTTCCTGGCGCCGATCTTGGCGTCAAAAAAGAATCGCCAAAAACCAAGGGGCACCAAATTGTAAACTTTTACCAAAATCCGGATCGAAATACCAGTGTTCATTGACTTTACCACTCGGCCGTTGATGGACCAAAATTTTCAAACCTTGCTTCCACTTCCTCTGGCAAAAGCAAAGAACTGTCTTTTACGAAACTCATTGTTATGAGAATCAGTTCCCGTTTAGGGTTTCAAATCTTGATCTGATTCTTGATCATTTGATTGTTGTGTTTGTGATTATGTCATTTACTGCTAGGTTAGAAATTATTCATCGCTCTTACATCGATTATTTTCCTTGCTTTCGATATAAATGAGTCATTTCATTAACAGATTTAATTCTTTCCTCAGCCGCTACGAGTGACATAGTGCTTAGTGAAAATTTCATTAACAGATTTAATTATTTCCTCAGCCGCTACGAGTGACATAATGCTTAGTGAAAGCTGACAGCTAGTTCGAAACATAAGGCCATCCACCCGGTACAGTGGTTAGCGTCGCTGACTGCTATGCCGAAGGGCCCGGGTTCGAATCCCGGAGAAGTCATGGATGTTTGTAAATGTATAGTGTCCGTGAGAACACTCTAAAAGTGCGGTAAGTCGAATAAGGCTGTTGCCGACGGCAAGCGTAAACTTGCGCTTCTTGCCACGAGGAATTTAATGGGTTTGGGCTGACTATAGATCAAACAAGTTAAAAGGTATTTCTCCCGCCTTCTTAGCGTGCCTTCGTGGTGTGGTGGTCCGTACGCTGGGCGCATATTCCAGAAGTCTGTGGTTCGACTCCCAGCGAAGGCGTTGCTCATTTTTCATGCTCCTGCTTAAAAAAAAAAAAAAAAAAAAAAAAAAAAAAAAAAAACAAAACCGTCTCTACAAAGTGAACATTAGCAACAACAACATAAGTTTCGGTTTCTGCATTAAGACTTTACTGCATGTATGTATTTAGGCCGCTGTCGTGGGAATAATATTGGTCCACTTTCTGTGATGCACTTTGAGCCCCAAAGCAACTTGGGGTGATTTGGGGCCTTTTCCACGAACCTTGTCGAGCGAGTAATCCTTCACTAGAGAACGATGGGGTTTTTCTTAAGAAGAAATGAAGTTAATGACTGATCAAGAAATTGAGGAGCCACTAAGAAACTACAAAAAAGTGTAATGAGTATTCGATTTCGTATTGAGCATTCTGTAGGAAAACACAGCTGTTCCGGCTGAAAGACTTTCAGCTTTTTCTGCTCATTTGGCGGCTTTTATTTAAAGAAAAAAGTAAATAGAATAATATTACAAAAAATGTTCTCTACGTCTAATATAATAATATCTGACAGTGCTTCGAGACTTCAAGCTATAGTAGGGCAAATTCGCTCTCCATTAGTGAGAGATATTTAGTATATGTTAACGTGTACAAAACCAAACTTATATTGACACGTGCCCATGTAGACACTGATCAGTGTCTACATGCGCATGCGGAATGAGATCGCTGATCAGCTAGCAGGAGAGGCCGATGCTATTCGCACCATCGGTGCGATTAGCCGCTTAAGCTATTCGCACCAACATTAACCACGCATGCGCATTGAGTTGTCAAAGGCGGGTTTCTACCTTGGCGTAGTTTATCATTTTTTAAGCGTTGGCGACTTTCAAAAGCTTAGAAAGGAAAATGGGTTCCTCTTCTTATAAAAAGAAGGAACACATTTCCTTTTATTAAAGTATATATAAAAAAGGGCAGATTTTTATGTTCGCAATGTTTATCCTTTTCCTGAACGGTTTGAATAGTTTAAATGACTGATTTGAATGGGGGCAAAATCGTGTTGACATTTTTTGTATTTCTTAAAATACATTTAGCTTTAAAGATGTGTTTTGCTCAATCAAGCCTTTAATTCATTTGAAAAATTTTGTCCGATAAAAGATACTAAAAATTAGACAGCGGATTTCTGTGTAGAAAATTTAGACATGAAATCAGTTAAAAGAGATTATATGAACTATTAAATGAATTATTCTGTATGCCTGCTTATTTTTTTTTTTTTTTTTTTTTTTTTTTTTTTTTTTTTTTTAATAGAAATACTTGGCATTTTCAGAACACAAAAAGTGCTTGAAAGAACTTTGAAATATTAGTACAAACGCATTAATCAATTGAATTGAAATAAATAATGGGATGTAATTTAAAAGACAGAAATAATTTAATGTAAGAGATTTAGATTTAAAAATTTGCACACACAAATGATTTATCAGATTTTATTAGGTTTTTATTTCATAAATAACTTTAATATTGAATATGGCATTTTAACCTATAAACATGAGTGGATACTGAAAAAGTGATGAATATATACGAATATTAAGTTTTCTTATTGAATAATAAATTCTGACAGTCCAATGCTGTAAGACTAGGGTCTAAGTTTGCATAAAAATTCCTCTGTTAAATAAAAGAATTTAATTAATTTCTGTAGTCTTTTTGTCAATACACTAAAGTTTTTTTTAAACTATTACTCGTCCTCTCTTGCAATTAGAACCATCATTAAATCCCTATTTTATCTAATCATTTCCTGAACATTAGCATGTATATAGATTGACTTCGTCTTTGTAACTGATAATTATTACTTGCAAATTATTCTCTTGCTGGTGAACTATAAACAACCCTTTTTATTGCTGAGTTAGGGTTAACAACCTTCGCTCTCACTACCGCCGCTTACGGAAATCGGCGTAAAATGCTAGTAACCTGGGCTGCTTGTGCGCATGCACGAACGTAGGTGGTGTGAATAGCCTGTTAGCTATTCGCACGGTCGGTGCGATTAGCCACTGCGAGCAGGAGAAGCTGCAAACGGTATTTTAACATCAATTATTTCCTTTCCTAATCCAATTTTTTACTTAAAATCTCATTTAGAAAAAGATCTTATGTCACAATGAACATTTTTATGGTCACAAGAAGTCACTGGAAGAACATTTACCTTTTTACACATCCCTTCACGTAAATTAGTTTCTACAAATAGTGCAGTGAGTTGTTTTCTGATAACTCATGGACCTTTTGTGGTCTACTTATTTCATTTTGTGCTACGTAACACAGACAGTTGCATTTTCGGCTTACGAGGTACATTGCGGGGGGGGGGAAAGACAGTTCGATATCTCCCGTTCTACTAGGCCGAATGACAAAATTCCAATTGCATTTTTCATGTTTCGAAAGCGCGTCTTAGGATATATATTATATTTGTATATAGCGTTATTCTAACATAGATATTTTGACACAAAAGTGGACTTTTTCTGAAATGACATGCGAATTTTTTTCCCATATTTCGATTCTGCGACTCAAATTGTGCCAAACTGCCAAGTTTTGTAAAAATCGCACGAGTAGTTTTTAAAAAATTAGCTCTCAAAATTTTACCGCCTCAATGTTAATTCAGTTTGGTTATGTATTAATATCTTTTTTTTATTCCATTTGCTTGATTCCTTCTATCACAGTTCGAAATTAAGTTTATTCCAAATAAAATTCACTCCTTTTTTATGATTTATTTTAAAATTTGTATTTTAAACTAATTTTTTTTAATTTTGGGTAAAAATTTTGAATTATAATCTATAACGTTGTTTACCATCACCCTTAAAGTACATGTATTTCAAAGTATACCTGCAAAAAATTAGAGCTTTTTATTCAAAATTTCGGAAGATATGCGTGAATTTATACATTGGCGCGTTTTGAAATTTGGCATATTTGTTGAAAGCGATAATAACATCTAATGTGGCTTACGCACTTTGTTAAATTTATTTGAAAGTAGGAACGATGTGACTTTTTTCCCGTCTATGTACAATGGAAGGGAAAGGAAAATAGGCTGCTGTATATTAAGAAGTTTGCCAAGTGAATCATTCTTGATGCAAACTGGAAAAAATTCACGAAGCTAAATTTTTGAAATTCCTCCCTAAATTTCGCACGAAATTTTACAAAATTTAATATTTAGGCATAATTTGAGTCGTAGAATCGAAATATGGAAAAAAATTGGCTTCAGGAAAAGTCCGATTTTGTGCCAAGATACCTATGTTAGAATAACGCTATATATAAATCTAATATATATCCGAAGTCGCGCTTTCAAGGCATGAAAAACGCAATTTGAATTTCATCAATCGGCCGAGTAGGACGGGAGATATACATAACTGCCTTTTTTTCAATACATTGACACTGAGCCCACCAGCGGCCGAGCGGTAAAATCGCTGAACACTGGTAGTTCGGTTCGAGGTTTGAATCCCTCGAACGGGCTGGCTACATGGGCGTTTTCGTGGTTTTCCCCATGTGTAACGTGTATACGAGCCAGTTTCCATTCGAAAGTCCTCCACGAAGACATCTCTCCCCTTAGGCAGATAGCCCTCGAGGCTTTGCCATAATCACACACACACACACACACACACTGACACTGAAAACAGATAACCAGAAATCTACAACATTTCTGGCTCTATACAACAAACAATGCTCGTGAATGGTTTCAGCAGATTCTCAGGAATTCTCTTCGCCAGAAGCTTCAGACTCTAATGAACTATCTTATTATAAACAGCGACATTCTCAAAGCAGTATAATTATCATTTTATTCATAATTTTTTACCTATTAATGTTATTAACGTAAGTAGCAGTCACGAAAGTGGCTTATAATCTTAGTGTGCAGTCACTAATAGAATATAACAAGTTACATCATTATCACGAAATTCTGTACTATTAGTGTAGAATTGTATGAACCAAATTTCTTTGAATGCCGGTAAATTACAGTAGCCGTATATTTATTTCACGTTCATTGATATTAGTTCTTTTTATTTCCTTAGATTTTCGCTACAAAATTTGGGGAAATTTGGAACCAATACGATGCAAGAACATTCTGCCAGAATACATGCCAATGATACTAGTCGCAATGATTATCAATCTCTCGATGATGGAGACGAAGACTGGTCAAGCAAATGTTCGAGATGTTTTCAAATTTTTAAATCCTTAAGGATAGAGCCGGTAATGTTTTTATTCATGTTCTCTTTCATCTTAAATTCAACATGCCTGACAAATATGATAATGGAGAAAGGTTGTCTGTATTACCTGAACTATTCCAAGGAAATATGCAGCAACCTCAGTTACTACAAGGACCAAAGAGATTCGGTGGAAATATTGGCCAACAACTACAATCTGTATCTGGACATGCTGGCTCCTATAGGTGCTACAGTTGTGATCTTTCTTGCTCCTTGGAGTGACAAATATGGACGGAAACCACCTCTAATTTTGGCATTGTTTGGGTTCTTCGTGAACGATGTAGGGATAATTTTGTGCACTATTTACTTCTACTCTGCGTTAGAGTACATCATACTTTCCAGTTTGGCAACTCAGCTAACGGGAGGCTTCATAGCCGTCATGACTGTCATTTACAGCCATTCTTCAGAAGTATCATCGGCAGCATCCAGATCCCAAAAGTACACTTATCTTCAGATTGCGTTTGGAATTGCAGTGACTTTAGGTGCTTTGGCAGGAGGGCAGTTGTACCGGTATTATGGCTACACGGTCGTGTATTCAACTATGGCGTCTGGTCATCTCATGGCTATATTGTGGGTTATTATCTTCGTGCCGGAAACAGCTGGACTGGACAGTAATGTCTCTTTTTGGCACAAAATGAGAGATCTTTGTTCCAGTCAGAACTTCACGAGTGGGTTTAAGTCGACCCTTAAGCATCGCGACAACAATGGCAGAACTCGTTTATGGTTTCTTTTGTTATCAAGCTGCACGGTTGCTATAACGTACGAAGGTAAGATCTTTGCTTTTGGCTGTCATTGTTTTTAGGACCAAACTTGAATTGAAATCAATTGCTTTTGTGTTTTATGTAATTAACTGATTTTACGTAAACTATACAGATGTATAACTGTAGAGTTTATGTGAATTAATCCAGTAACCATGTAATGTTCCAACCTATAAATTACAGCTGAATGTGTGGAACCTTAACACGTTGAGCGCCACGTCAGCCATTTGCGGCTGAACACTAGACTTTCCGTTTAGGACCGTGTCAGGCATCTGTGGCTGACACTAGACTTTCTGTTTAGGCCGCGTCAGCGCTCTGTGTGGCTGACACTAGACTTTCTGTTTAGGCCGCGTCAGCCATCTGTGGCTGACACTAGACTTTCCGTTTTGGCCGTGTCAGCCATCTGTGGCTGACACTAGACTTTCCGTTTAGGCCGCCATTTTCGGGTCATGCCATTCTCCAACAATCTCCTCCTCGTCGTCAGAAGATGATAAAAATACATTCTCACTGGGCAGTTTTATAGCAAGAATAATTTCACTGCTGCTATCGGTTTCACACTCTCGAACTGACATTTTGACGCTTAGGGTTAAAGAAAATTGTTGTCTACACAGGGCCAAGAACTGCATTGAACTGGTTTGTTGTAAAGGGAACACCGGCCACGAATCTATTTCGATAAAATGTTATCTAGTTAGCCAAACAAAGAAAACAAAACAGATTTGGCACATAACGTGTTGAATGAATGCCCATAGGAATCACATTCCAAACGTAAACTATCTTCTACTGCTATAAAAATCACTGGCTCTACAATACCAGCGCTTTTAAGCGGCGCGCGTGGCCTCAACGGGATTGCCTAAGAAATACGCGTGGCGCTCAACGTGTTAAGAACTGGTAAGGGAATAATCGCTTAGTTCAGAAAGATAGAAACGTAAACGTACGAAGGGTTAATTACCCTTTATTATTCAAAATAAATTTGACAGTCGACTTCTTTTTGGAGTTTACAACGAAGCCTCCACTCGGGCTTGAACTCAGGAATACTAAGAATAAAACTTAACTAAACAGATATAGCCGAAGCTATCAAGAATCTGCAAGAGTTCGCCCTCCACGCTAACTAAACGGCGAAGTTATCAAGGGCCTAAGATACGCCCGAGCAAAGAAATAGCCTTAGAGAGAGTAGCCTAAAAGGAGAACGCGCGCTGGTCAGAATCTCTTGTTCTCTCACGAAGTCAGTAGAACTTCAACTTTAAATACTTGCTCTTCCTTCATTTGCATTTAGCCGCGATTCTGAAAACACGTTCTGGCAGGAAATTGTAAGCTAAAATTAAGAAAGATAGGGAAGTGGCTTTAATTAAAAATTAACTGTTAAAAAACTTAGGATAAACCTTACAACCTTATTATTTAGCATCTCTTACTACTGGCCCGAGTTCGAATCCAGGAGAAGGCATTTGTGTTTGTAAATGTCGGTGCGGCACTCTAAATATGCGGTGAGCCGAAAGTCCTCTGGTGTGGTTTAATGGAAGGGGTCAGGGGTGGGAGACCCTCGAGTTCTTTCTTTTCCCGAGGGTGCTGTCCATCAAAATTGGGGTGGAACTGAGCTAAATCACAGTCACTTGTATGGCTGTATTCAGACGGCGGCGTAAAAGGCATTGAGGCGTAGTCATAAGGGCATAAAATACGGGAATTCCGTTCACACACGCGAGAACGGGGTGTAAGCCATGGCCAATGAGAGAAGCTAAATTTGCGCATGCGTGGATGTGTCTACAAATTTCCCACGCTGTTCTCCTGCTCGATTGATTTCCCGCGTTCGCTCTGCTTGTTTTGTGACAGCGAAATCTTCTGTATTTCGCCGCTTCGTTTTAGCTTCGCTCTGATTGGTCAACGCTTATCCCAAACTCGGCATAAAGTTGAAAACTTTGAACCCTATGCCACGAACCCTAAACCAGATTTTGTGACGTTGCACAGACTGGTTGCCTTGGCAACGGAGCTCGGTTTATGCCCCCGTCTGAACGAAGCTTTAGGTGCTTGAGGCTGATGCCAACAACTGGAGTAATCTTGCGCTCCCTGCCACACGGAATTTCTTGGGCTTGGGCTGATGTTACTGTCAGACGAGTGAGCATAAGTAATAATAACTGCAACAACCTTATTATTAGCCCATAAGGGCGTTAGCACGAATGGGCTATTAACCTCGAAACGGGATTTTTTGCGTCGTCTACTACAAGTATAAACGGAGCATCATTTCTCAAATTGTTGCCACCAAATATTATCGCCCTGTATTATTTTTAAAGAAATTAAATAAAGAATATGCATGTGTGTGTGTATGTTCGTCGCACTGTGAAAAAAACGTTCCCGCATTCGCTCTGCTTGTACGGTACTTACAGCCATCAAATTTTAAATAATATATTATATGTTTTTAAAGAACTTAAAATATTTGTAACTTTTCAATATATTTGCATAACGTTAATATTATTTTTAAAGAAATTAAACAAAGAATCAGCATGTATGTATGGTATGCATGTATGTTCGTCGCATCGTGAAAAAAAGACGGCATCTAGAGCCATCAAATTCTGAATAACGTAGTCCTTCATCCAAACATACGCACCTGGACGCCCGAGTTTTGAATTTTATATTTCGTATTTTGTAAAATTTTAATGAATTTTTGATTAACAAACTCTAAGATTTCCAAAGCGAGCAATGACAACCCTGTACGGAGTAAAATATTTTTATCTCTAGCGTGCGAAACTGTCTAGCGGAAATTCTAAAGATATGATGTTTTTAAATATTTTATGATTTTGCTCCGTTCAATTGAATTGTTTGTCGAGTAAGTGCGAAGAGCGTGATATTAATTAATAAATTTAACACACAAAACGTTAATAATAAAATGATTTTTTTTTAAAAAAAGAGGTGTTTTTTTTTTTTTTTTTTTTTTTTTTTTTTTTTTTTTTTTTTTTTTTGTCTAGTTTTAACAACTAGATGTTATAGCAGTCTTATATACAAAATTTCAAAGTTATAGGATTAATTGTTTCTGAGTTGTGAGACATGTATACATACGTACGCATGTACAGACGTCACGAAAAAGTACGTTCTACAATCCGTTTCAAGAAAAAGTGTGCTTTATTCTTGTCCATACCCACAGATGTCGCACAAAAACATTGTTAAATTACATTCGAGAGCGGTCAAAATGGATATTTTCGTTGAAATATGATACCGGAAATTTTTTTTTGATTACAATACTTTCTGTATTTTGTACAAGGAAGTAAAAAACTCAACACTGAAGTATTCTGTTGTATTTTTAAACTGTAAAAGACAGCAAAATCGCAATTTCCGTCACATGAGAAAACAAAGATTTTTTTTTTTTCCCTAGAATAAGTATAATTTTATTCTACTGAATATAATTAAAGGAGATTATGAAAAGTTAGATTTTTAAACCGTATGCAAAGTTAGATTTTTAAATTTTTACGAAACTTAATTTTTAAATTTTAAAATGGCGAAACTTGAATATTTTTTTTTCCTTTCAAACTTTTTTTGTAACTAGAAATATATGTCTGTGAAAAACATATCCAAATTGAACGCTGTATCAGGACTTTTGTGAACACAGCGTCCAAATTCTGCTAAATAATTCTTGATAAGACAAAGGTTTTAATTTTTCCTGCTATGGCCGATATATCTTCATCCCTTATTCATTGAATAAGCTTTTAAATAATCATGGCTGAAAGATAATTGAATTGCCTCTAGAAATAATCATAAATCTGCATCTATTGCTGCCAATTCTTTATAATACAATTAGTTCAAGCGTAATTAGCGAAACTAATTAATTACTATAAAAGTAATGGCAATAGTTCCTAAAATAAACAATAAAACCATAATTATGAAAAAATTTAGGAGATTTGATGAAAAGTTCGATGTGTAAAATGTTGTCAAGAAGAAATAAGGTGAACCTCATTTTGTAAAAAGTCCAACACTTATCTCCAAATGAGCAGGCATGCAGCCAACTCAAACTTTACCTCATGTCTAAAGCAGGAACGATGTAAGAGTGTAGGTTACTGAAATTCATATGAAATTCACTAAAGCCTACGTCATGTATGAAGCAAGAAGGTATAAAACTGTAGATCACTGAAATTCATCTGAAATTCACTGAAATGGCTAATCTTTGGAATATGGTAACAGTTAATTTGGCGACATTTTGGTAAGGCGATAAAGGTTACTAGCTAGGACTTTAGCAGTGTACATGGATAAAGTCAAGAGTGTGCGCAATGCCATTTTTGTGCAATTCTGGGATTTTTTTTTAAGTGAAAATAGGTCAACGTGTACATGGATACCGTGTATGTGCAATTCTTAAAAACCCGGCAAGCAGTTTGCGATTCTGCACTTTCTCCCAATTTCGCACCCAATCTTCGTCATGATTAAGCACTGTTGTTCCATAAAAGTTCTAGCATAAGCGTAATTAGCAGATTGTTGAAAAAAAATGTCAAGGGAAAAAAAAAAAAAAAAAACATGCCTTTACTTCGTGAAAACAAAATGGCGTCCAAACAAAAACTAGCAGGTTGCTGTAGCAGGGTTGGTCGCCAAAAAATCGCCAAGTTACCATAATCCAAAGATTAACCCTGAAATTTTATGTCATATCTGAAGAAATTAGATAACGGAGGATCTACATTAAATGTATGTATGTTTCTTGTATCGTGATGAAACAGTTGTACAGCCATCGAATTTTTAATAACGTAACTTTCCACCCGAATATGTGTATCTGGAAGACCAAACTTGGAATTTGTTTATTATCTGTTTCATATTTTCTAAAGCATTTATGAGTTTTTGATTAACTCAACAATTTCAAAGCGAGCAATGGCAACACTGCACAGGAAAAAAAAAAAAAAAAAAAAAATTATCTCCAGCGTGCGAGACTGTGCATCGGAAATTCTAGAGATATGCTCTTTTAAGTGTTTTGTGATACTGCTGTTGAATTTTGGTTTAAGTGCCAAGAACATGAAATTTGATAATAAAGGTAACACACGAAATGTTAAAAACGCCCCTTTGGGCGTAATATAAAATTTGAAAGCATTCAATTTATTTTCTTTAGCCCAAAGGGCATTAGCCCCGCTTAATTTTGGTTTGGCATTTTGCGTTGAAAACTTTAAATGTCGGTTCAGTTTTCAAATTGTTGAGACCACATATTATCGCTCTATGTTACTGAAGAATCTGCTTAAATGTATATATGTTTCTCGCATTGTTATAAAACGACAGTACCTAGAGCCATCGTATTTTGAATAACGTACGTTTCCACCCGAATATGGGCACCTGGAAGTCAAATTTGGAATTTGTTTTATTATCGATTTAATATTTTGTAAAACTTTTAACGAATTTGTTGATTAACAAACTCAACGATTTCAAAACGAGCAATGGCAAAACTGTGCGGGGGGGGATTTTTTGCGATATTGCTGTTGAACTGAGTTTTATGGTTTAAATGCGAAGAAAATGATATTTAATAAACATAGGTAACACACAAAACCTAAAAAAAAAAAAAAAAAGCCCCTTTGTGCGAAATGTAAAATCTGAAAACTTCCAGATTTGTTTACGTTGTCATTTTTCTATTTTTTCCCCCTTCCTTCCCCATAGAGAATTTTAAGAGTGAATTGATTATTTATTTACTATGTATAAAATTGTTCCTGTTAAGTTCCTGGTAAGTTTGTAATTGTTAAGTTGTCCCTTAAATGAATGTTGTTTCCCATTAAAATAGTGTCCTTTTAAACAGCTATTGTCTTCTTTTCAGTGTTTACGAATATTAATTATGTATATGCTCATCATATGTACGGTTGGGATCCTGCTATATATTCCGAAATGTGGACCATCTTCAGCTTTTCGGAAATGATTGTTGTACTGGGATGTACTTCCCTCTTTATTCAAGTTTTCAAGCTCACAGATCCTGTCCTAGGAATTATAGGCAGTGTATCTATCATAGGAAAAAATATCTTCATAGCTCTGGCGTATGAGCTCTGGCTGTATTATTTAAGTAAGTTCGCTGTTGCCATTTTTCAGTTTGATTAATCAAAATTTATTTTGGAAGGGTAATAATAATTTTCTTAAAATATTTTGCAAAGAATATATATGAATTAGTTCAACTGACTTTAATGACTCTCATTTCCAAGTTTTGTCGTTATTAACAAATACTTGGGGTAATTAAGACACAATAACACGCCGAACAAATACTAATTCAGAAGTCAAACAACAAAAATCAGCGTTATATTTTCAAATTTTCGCTGGGAAATATAACGCCTTTGTAATCTCTGCACCACTGCCGTCACTTGAAAGCAATTAGTTGCCAAGGGTTTACAAATTGCCACTCTGCCATAAATGTTCACAGCATGAAGTTACCCTCTTTCGTGTACGCTGTCATAACGGTTGATACCATATTCCTTGCACACCCCACAAGGTTTGCTGTTTCCGTAACCGATGCTCCACTTAAACGCACTCCAACTATCGTTCCTCTTTGAAACTCTGGCAGGTCTGACATTTCAACTTCTCACAGAGAGTTCGATCGAAACATGCAACGCAGATGACTGCAGTTCAGAGACTGATACCTTCCTCTTCACGCTCAACTAGGTGGCAGATTTCTGTTGCAGGTGGCGCGGCTGTACTGCAGTTGTGAAATACGTCATACTTTTTCACAGGTGTTCGCATTATTTTGTCCTCCATCTGTACATATACACAATTATTAGGCACGTAATAATCACTAGGTTCTCAGACATTAGATATATTGTATACATATACAGGGGTTGGACAAAAATATGGAAACACCTTTAAAAAAACATGTTTCTTTGCTTAATATGGTGTAGGAAACCCGTTGGCATCCAAAACAGCTTGCAGTCTTCTCGGAATGGATAAATACAGTTCCTGTATGTTTGCCAAGAGAATATTATACCATTCTTCCTGCAAACGGTGGCAAGTTCAGATAACGATGTTGGCGGTGGATAACGAGAACGCACTTTCCGTTCCAATGTAGACCACAAAGGTTTCGATAATATTCAGGTCTGGTGACTGTGGTGGCCAGGGGAGATGGGACAACTCACTCATCCTCGGGATCAGAAAACCAGTCCTGGACAATGTGAGCTGTGTGAACAGGGGCTTTGTCGTCTTGGAAGACACCATCACCATCGAGGAACAAAGTTTGTACCATGGGATGAACTTGATCGGCCAAAATTGTTCACATAAGTCTTGGCAGTCATGTGCCCTGACACAGTTATCATGGGGCTAGCAGAGAACCACGATATGGCTGTCCAAACCATAACAGAACCCCCGCCATGTTTCACTCTTGGCAACAATCAGTCTGTATTATAGGCTTGAGATGGCGTTCTCCAGACGTAAACTCGGCCAGAAGTGGGAAACAATGTGAAAGACTCGTCAGACCATATTACTCGCTTCCACTGCTCTATAGTCCAGGCCTTTATGACTTAAACACCACCTTTTCCTGTTACGGGCATTAGCATCACTGATGAGTGGCTTTTCAATTGCAGCACGGCCAGCAATTCCCTGTTTATGAAGCTCCCTTCTAATTGTTTTGGTACTCACAGGGTTCGGTAACACAACATTCATTTCAGCAGTAACTTTTGCAGCTGCGGTCTTCTTATTTTTCGTCACAATTGCCCTTAATGATCGCCTGTCACGATCATTCAAGACACACTTTCGTCCGCGCTGTGATTTAGCAGATGATGTTTTTCCGCTTTTTAAATATGCAGAATAAATCTTCGATACAGTACCTCTTGAAACACTAAACACCTCGGCTACCTTGCTTACGGAAGCACCTACCATACGTGCTCCAACAATTTGCCCACGTTCGAAGTCTGTTAACTCTGACATAATGCAATGACAACCTCACATAACAGTACTCCGACAACAACTGAACTGTTTAGCACATTCACGAAGTTGTATGGGTGGCGTCAGTAGTCAAGAACACCAGCGCCACCTAGATATTTCATTAAAATCAATCTTTCTTTTCAAACATGCATTTTACAAGGTGTTTCCATATTTTTGTTTATCCACTGTATATAAACAGATGGTTCATAATACAGTGCTATAAAAAGTAATAAAGGCGGTTAATTTTAAAGTGTGCCATTAATGTGGTTTAATATGTGCCACTTCCTTCTTGGTGTTTTAAATTCAATGTTGAGCAACGTAATGATATTTTTACGTAGGGATTCACTGAGATATGAATATTATTTCAAGGGTTTAACAGTGGTAAAGAGATTAAGAGGTCCTGGCTCATGGATGGATCATTGGATTCATTTTCCAATATCATAGCAAAGTATGTGGATTTGACTATTGCCAGCCAGTGGCACTCTCCTGTCATTCGTTTGGTAAATGGCACACTGCGGGGAAGGGGGGATGGGACAGTTCTATATCTGCCGTTCTGCTGGGGCGATTCATGAAGTTCATCTTGCGTTTTTCATATCTCGAAAGCGCGACTTGGGATATGTACTAGATTATATATAGCATTGTTCTAATGTAGGTATTTTGACACAAAATCAGACTTTTTTTTTAAATCACTTGCCTTTTTTTCCATATTTCGATTCTAGGACTCAAATTATGCCAAACTGCCAAGTTTTGTAAAAATGGCACAAGTAAAATCGCTTTGAAAAATTAGCTCTCAACATCTTAGCTCCCTCAGTGTTTGGATTCTTCCTTTTGCATTTCAGAATTTAGGTTCATTCCAAAGTTCACCCATTTTTTATGATTTATTTTTTAACTTTGTATTTTTAAATAATTTTTATACGTTTTTTGAAAAAAAAAATTTGAATTGTAATCTATAAATTTTTTACCATCAACTTATCTGGTTCAATGTTCCGTCTTACTTTCTTCGGGAACATGCAAGGACCTGACTCGGAACAGAGAGCTTACTAAAGCTATGTTCAATAACTGTGGGAAGTAGACAGGATACACAAGAAGGGTATACAAAACCCTTTATTTTTCTCTATTTACAATAATTTCCGTACTTCGGAATACAAAGACCCACTACTTGTGGTCTAAACGTAAGAATATAAAAATATAACTAAACTCTAACTTGACTTTGAAATAATAAACGTGGAAGATTGGCCTTATATTAACAGGAAGCCTTATGTAGTACAGAGAACTGTTAACACTACAATACGTTTAAAATTATCAAGAGGATTAAACCTCTGGCCTGGAAGGCAACCAACAACTGAGTAAAACTTCTAAGGCAAGCGGCCTGCTTCGTCTAACTCCTTCCTCTCTCTCGCTTGGCAAAAAGCCACAACTTAAGTACTTGGCGTTCGCCAGACAAATTTTGCATAAATAAGTTAACGCTTTTAATTCTGGCCGGAAGTAGAAAATAAGAAGTGATAGTAAAGATTTAAAATAAAATAAACGTTAGTAAAACTTAAGATCCTTACATACTTCCCGCCAGAGTTAATTAGTTTGAAACTGAGGTCTAAAACGACCTTGTTGAAAACTTTTAGCTCTAGAATCTAACGCGAGATCTTTTACGAACCCAATCTTTTACGAACATTTCTGACTAGAAACTAGAAATTTAAAAAAAAAAGAAATTTGTTTTTACAATAGCAGCTCCAAGGACACGCAATTTTTCATCTGTACTGCATCTAAACAGGAGCTTTTATTCAAATCTGGTTCCTTCCAGAGATCTGGAAGGAAAACTAGTTTAATGAAATGTTACACAATGAAATGGCAAGTAACATGCATATTTATATTTCTCTTAACATTCTTATTTCATTCATGACTATTTTAATTATCTCTCCCCGTGCTCTCTGACATGTGTTGTAAAAGAACACCAAACACGAATGTGTTTATGTATACGTGTTCAACACTTCCTCCTACAATCAAAACACTAACGTGTTAAAAATTCAAAACATACCAAGACCTCAGTAACACACCCTAACTTCAACTCTAAACCCTGAGGTACTATTCTGAAAGTGGTCTAACTCTGAAGTGTAGCGTCAGAGAGCCTAACTACATTCATTCAACCTTTAACACATATTCACCATAATTTGGTCTTTTTTTACAGTCACACGAATAAAAAATTTTTTAACATTACTTTCACTTTTACCATATCACGGTATTTCTTAACATTTAAAATAACAGTTCACATTGTATATAAGAACATATTAACATGCCGTTAATTTTACGCATTTAAAACATACATTAGTAGTACATTGTTAACTTCTATTCTTTTCAAAGCAAGTGCCAATTCTTCTACATTGAAATACTACATTTCAAAAGTCTTTCAGACTAAAACTTCTTTCTTGCCAGAATGTTTTAAATAAAATTTTATACAATAACTTTTACAATATTTAAGTATTTACACATCGCTATTATACATCAACTTTAGTTTTACGCGCGAGTAATTGAAAACATAATACCAAAATCGGTAAAAACTCATTTCTCGCCCTTTTTGGCGATAAAGGTAGACCTCGCATGAGGTAAAACTTCTTGAAATCTGCCACTTGCAGTAAGAATGAAAAAGATTAACTTAAGTTTGCAAAGTAACATAAAATTTTACTTATCTTTGTGATATTCGGACATCTTTTCTGAGCCCAGTCCTGGAAGGTAGCGCAGATTCTCGTTTGATTTATCCTCCTCTTGTGCGGGCTCGCCCTTCAGTGCCTTCCTCTAGAAGCTTTTTTTTTCCAGTTCGGTCACCCTTGAATACCTTCTTTTTCGCCTCTGCCTGTGGTCTTGGCCGTTTGATGGCAGCTGGTCTTGGCGGAACCGGGACACTTCTTTCGCGTTCCTGCTTGGACCTCGTTGCTGGCCGTTCAAATTTTCCTTGTAACTTTTCCTCCGCCGCTGGTGGCCCTTCCGCAGTTCGGCGACATTTGCTGCGGAGAGTCCTGTCCGATGAGTAGATCTTCCGTTTTGGAGCCGGGTTATAGTTGCCGTCATTTCTCCTGGCTCTCTTTGCATTACGTCGTACTTCTCCCTTCTTCATTCTGGGGGTGTTCGTGAGCTCTCTTTTCTGGACGGTGGAACGGCTTCTTTTTC